ACCCTAACCCTAACCCTAACCCTAACCCTAACCCTAACCCTAACCCTAACCCTAACCCCTAACCCTAACCCTAACCCTAACCCTAACCCTAACCCTAACCCTAACCCTAACCCTAACCCTAACCCTAACCCTAACCCTAACCCTAACCCTAACCCTAACCCTAACCCTAACCCTAACCCTAACCCTAACCCTAACCCGTAAGCCTAACCCTAACCCTAACCCTAACCCTAACCCTAACCCTAACCCTAACCCTAACCCTAACCCTAACCCTAAGCCTAACCCTAACCCTAACCCTAACCCTAACCCTAACCCTAACCCTAACCCTAACCCTAACCCTAACCCTAACCCTAACCCTAACCCTAACCCTAACCCTAACCCTAACCCTAAACCCTAACCCTAACCCTAACCCTAACCCTAACCCTAACCCTAACCCTAACCCTAACCCTAACCCTAACCCTAACCCTAACCCTAACCCTAACCCTAACCCTAACCCTAACCCTAACCCTAACCCTAACCCTAACCCTAACCCTAACCCTAACCCTAACCCTAACCCTAACCCTAACCCTAACCCTAACCCTAACCCTAACCCTAACCCTAACCCTAACCCTAACCCTAACCCTAACCCTAACCCTAACCCTAACCCTAACCCTAACCCTAACCCTAACCCTAACCCTAACCCTAACCCTAACCCTAACCCTAACCCTAACCCTAACCCTAACCCTAACCCTAACCCTAACCCTAACCCTAACCCTAACCCTAACCCTAGCCCGAAGAACCCAAAGCATTCACCGAGAGCTCGGGTCGACGGACCGCTGATTTCTCCATTTGGTTTCGGCTCAAACCGGACCATTTGCTGTTAAAAGCTGCACACAACGGCTTGGACTCTCTGACCCTAACCCTAACCCTACCCCTACCCCTACCCCTACCCCTAACCCTAACCCTAACGACACGGATCACGGTGCTCCTTAGAGGTCGTCGTGCGCGTCGCTGCCGACGCATCTCGCGTGTTGGTGTATTTGTATTTCGGCGGGGGCGCGCATTAAAAGAACATTGAGGCTACACACACGTCCTCGAGCGCCTAAGCCCCGAGCAGGACACACCTCACGAACCAAGCTGCTCTCGCACCTCCTCTCACTAGTTACTCGGTTGGGCTCTCTCCTTTCTATACTTCGTCGCTTTCACCGCGTTTGGATGCAAACTTGTGAAATTTTCAGTGAAACGGGGGCGGCCGAAACGTTTCATGTGAAATTCACATGAATTCACATGTGAAAGTGAAAGGGTGAAATTTCACTCACGAACCCTGGTCCTGTCGTGTCGACTTCGGCGGCGAAGAGGTCGGCCATCGTGCCACTCGATGAGGCGTAGACGGCGGCTTGGCGTGCGCCCGGTTCCCCCTTTCTCTTCCCTAGTTCGACGAGAAGAGAGAGAGAGCACTGGCGATGCGCGACACCAGCACGGTGCCTCCTGCTTCCTGAAGTACACCTCAGAGGGACCGCGAGGGTACCCTTGAGGAAACGGCAACAAGCTTTTGCTTTGAAGGGCACTTCAAAGGCAACCGCAAAAGGCTGGAGGCGCCGGCTTTGCTTCTGAGGGGTACCTCAGGGGTAACCGAGAGTGACCGGACGGCGACTCAGTCGCTGGCCTCTCTCTGCAGCCGGGGCGCCTCGCCAGTAGCTTTCTCTTGTCACGCCATGTGCCGCTCGCCCGCCGGCCCAAGTGACTTGGACGCGCGGCCGTGGGCACCCCACCGTTTTTGGGACGCGCTGGCGCTTGCCAGCGATCGTCCCCCCACCCAACCGCCCTTTTTCTTTGAGGCTGTCGCTCCGAGAAAGCTCTCGTCTCGCACTCTCGCAGCTGCGAGAATGCCTAGGCTGGCCGATTTTTTTCGCGGTATCCGCGGCGGGATATGGCGGGATATGGCGGGATATGGCGGGATATGGCGGGATATGGCGGGATACCGGGAGATACACGCGGATTTGATGAGATACGGAGCCCCCAAGATGTGTTCACGACAACGTCCGTCAAGCGTGAAACCGCAAATCGGACGCATTCGCGCTTCGACGGCCGCTTGTCGAGCGCTTGTCGATTCCCGTGATTCACGATATACAGAAAATTTCCGCTCGAGCAGGGACCAGGGATCCGTCGCGCTCTGCGGCCGGAGCGCGGAGAGAGGCCGGGCTGCTCGGCGTGAGGCGGGCAGGATACGGCGGGATATGGCGGGATATGGCGGGATATGGCGGGATACGGTCAGATATGGAGAGATACATCAAGATACCGCAAAAAAATCGGCCAGACTAGGCCTTGCGAGAAGGTACATTTCCTGCACAGTCCTGTGCGGGCGAAAAGAATTTTACAACAAAACTCCCTCGCACAGTGGTGTACCTGTGTTAGTGCCAGTGCGCGCCAGTCCAAGGCCCAGTGTTGTGCGAAAAGAATTTACCATCTTCCGAGCACGACACTAGGCACGAGTCCCCAGAAACCCCGAGGAGTCACACAGTCCACGACTCGGTGGGGTCTTCTTTCTGGGCGGGGGCGAGCGGCGCATCCCAAATGCGTACGCGCCATGGGGGGCGCTGATCCGCGAGCCAGCTGACCCCCCCCCCCCACCCTCTCCGGAACACTTGGCCTCTGCCGAACCGGTCGTACTCCTCTCGCAGCCACGCGCCCCTCGACCCACTCTCACCTCCGCGACCACACCTCGATCTTCTTGGGCAGCAGCTGGTTCGACACGTCCTCTCCGTGGCCTAAGCGGCCGAGTGCGCCAACGCCCCAGGTAAAGACAGCGCCGTCGGCGGTGAGGGCGAGGCTGTGGTCTTCATGTGCCGACAAAGTGACGACACGCCGGCCAGCTAAGGCCTCGATCTTCTTCGGCAGCAGCTGGCTCTGCTCGTCGCCGTGGCCCAAGGGGCCAAAGTCTCCCAGGCCCCAGCTCCAGACAGCGCCGTCGGCGGTGAGGGCGAGGCCGTGGAATATTGCAGCCGACACGGCGACGAAGCGCTGGCCAGCTAGGGCCTCGATCTTCTTGGGCTGCCACTGGTCCTGCTGGTCGCCGTGGCCCAACTGGCAACAGGCTCCACTGCCCCAGCTCCAGACGGCGCCGTCAGCGGTGAGGGCGAGGCTGTGGCCGCCTCCCGCCGACACAGCGACGACGCGCTGGCCAGCTAGAGCCTCGATCTTCTTCGGCAGCAGCTGGCGCTGCTGGTCGCCGTGGCCCAACTGGCCACAGGCTCCACTGCCCCAGCTCCAGACGGCGCCGTCAGCGGTAATGGCGAGGCTGTGGCTCTCTCCAGCCGACACAGCAATGACGCGCTGGCCAGCAAAAGCCTCGACCTTCTTGGGCTGCCACTGGTCCTGCTGGGTGCCATGGCCCAGCATGCCATAGCCCCAGGACCAAACGGCGCCGTCCGCGGTGAGAGCGAGGCTGAAGTATCGCGCCGCCGCCACACCAATCGCGCGCTCGCCTTCGGGGATTAAGCTGAAGCACGCCCTCGCCGTGGCCGAGAAGGCCTGGAAACTCATCCTCCTCCTCGTCCTCGCTCTCCTCTCCCGCGCCGCACGACGAGAGCCGCCCCTCGCCGTCGATGAAGAGGCTGTGCTGCCAGCCTGCCGCCGCCCTCGCCAGCGGGTTGGACTCGCGCAGCAAGGCATAGACGCACAGCCACCGCACGGCGCAGCTCTCGTCCTCTGGCTGCGCCGGCAGCTCGTAGCCGGCCTCTTGCAGGCGCAAGCGGATGCCCTGCTCTGCGAGCGAGGCGTGGAAGAGCAGCGAGACGGCCGCGACGCGAGCGATGTCGGCGGGGTCGCAGCGAGAGAAGGCGCGCACGAGGAGGTCCGTGGGGAGGTCGAGGAGGCGGGTCGGCGGCGTATGCGAGGGAGCGGCGGTGGGGGCGGCGCGGCTCGAGCAGCGGGGCGTGGTGGACATCGCCGGAAAAAGAGAAAAATGGCATTACAGCGATCACACAGGGAAAAGTGCGAAATTTCTTTGCGCCGCCACACTCGCGCCATGTGCACGCCGCAGCCGTTTCTCGGCGTGCACTCGGACCCCGCGACGAGCGCGTGCCTGCGCGGGCGAATAGCGTGCGACGCGTCCTCCGCCTGCGACGAGCCGCTCAACCGCTCCTGCCTGACGGCACACATTCCCGCCTGGGGTGGCGTCACACTCGACCGGGTCTCGTGCTGCCTGCGGTGCTGCCTGAGGCAGTGGATCCACAGGCTGGGCCTGGAAGCCAACGCGCAGCACTGGCGCGACCGGGGCGTGGATTTCTCCGTCTCCGATGGCAGGGGAGGCGTGCGAGCGGACGGGGATGCGCAGCTGCAGCTGCGTGCCGCCCAGCCAGTGGACTCGGTCCTCAACCTCCGCTTCAGCATTGCTCGCTTCGCCGACTTTCAAGCCGTCGAGAGGCGGGACTGGCAGTGCTTGGCGGACGGCTGCGAGGGAGTCGAGGCTCCTCGCTTTCGAGCGGCGAGCCGCCGGCGAAGCGGCTCGCTCGTGGTGTTGAACGGCTGGGGCTGGTCGCGTGCCAAGTATGTACGCGTCCTAGCCTCCGTCGATAGGGCCCTGCCCGACGGTCCGCTGGTGGTCTATTTCGGCGATGACTGGTCCTGGAACGTCTCCGGGCTGGCGAGATTCGACGCGCCGTTCACCAAGCTTGCGTGCCACTTTGCGATGAACCTTGACGATGACGCCGCGAGCCTGCCAACGGCACGGCAAGTTCCAATCGGCCTCAACGCAGGATGGGCGCCATCGCTCGGAACAGGCAGTTCCGCGGCGGTCGACATGTCGGCGGTGCTGAGAGCGCACGGGCGACTGCCGGGTACCGTCAGCCATCGCACGAAGCAGCTGCACTGCTGCTGCCAGCGCAGTTGGACTCATCGCCGCCGGGCATACGAGGGCCTCTTTGCCGCCGGCCACCAGCACTGCACGCGTTCGGCTCTGGAGCGGACAGGCGCTACGGATTCTCTGGTGGCGCAGTATCTGAATCACAAATTCGTCGCCGCTCCTCATGGCAACGGGAACACCGATTTCCGCGTTTGGGAGGTGCTCATGGCGGGCTCAGTCCCTGTGGTCGACCACTTTCCTGCCCACGACTGGCTTTACGACGGCCTGCCCATAGTGCGCGTCAAGGATTGGAGCGCTGTCACGCCTGGTTTTCTCAGCGAGGAGTGGGAGCGCATTCAGAGTGGCGTCAAGGCGGGCCGGCTCGGATGGGCCAAGGCGTACTTCCCGTTTTGGTTCGGGACTTTTACGGCGCACCTCTCCCCCGTAAATACTTAGCCGAGCGAGTGACGGATAAAGTCGTGTGAAAGAGCTGTGAAAGCGAAAGTATCGAAATGAATTGCCCGCCGCAGGCGAAGAAAATTTTCAGGGTTTTTTGGTCCCCTACGCCGAAGAAATCGAAGATGTCGGCGGGCGCCCGACGCGGTATGGATGGAGCACGCGCGCTGCCCGGCATGCCTGCAGCATCCAAACGAGACGCACGGCGTCGCTCAGCCGTGTCCACGCGGCTTCGCTCCTGTCCTAACCGGCGCCATCTGGGCGGCTGCTGCGGAGCTGCTGCAGGCGGTGCGGCAACTGGCCGACAGATACAACGCTCAGGGCACCCGCCGGCGATTCACTGGAAAGGAACGAAGGCGCCGCTGTCGGCGATTCACCGCCGTTCGTTCCCGTCTCTCAAGCTGGCTACACCGTCCATGGACGAGGGAGACGTCGCCTCCTCTTTCGTCCCGGGCACTGTTCGCGCCGGAAGGCACTGTACACTGCGAAGTACATTAACCTTCATCCCTCCTACCGCCGGCCGGGAGTGCAGCCTTCGCCATCGCTGAGTGAGGTTATCCTCGACTTTGGCACCTGCGAAGTAATGAACAACATGCAGTACGTCATATGCAATGGCGCTATGACAGCCCTGCGATGGGCGTCCTCGACGCAGACGAGGCGGAGCTCATCTGCACGGCGCAGATCGCCGACTTTCTCTCTCTCCCTGCGCGAGTGGTTGCGCCACCGTGGATGAGGCATATGGGCTGGGCAGGGGAGTTGGTAGAGGAGGTCGACTGAGGGCGCGAGGCCGCCAATCGTCACAGTCTGCTGCTGACTGTCGGTCGCTGACTGGTTGCGCATTGCGCTGGCCGCGCAGCGGCCTTTAGAAAATTTTGGCCGCAGGCCTAGGTTTTGAAAGATCAAGAGAATAAGCGCCGGTGAGGCTTTGAGAAGCTGCCGTTTGCGGCTTCCTAAGTCAACTTTTCGAGAGGAACGTTTTGGCTGAGCTATAACGGCTCCAAAGTCGCGCGATCATCGAGTTTTGAGTCAATAATTATGAAAGGAAAGGGCTGGCGAGAATTATAGCTCAGCCAATCGATTCAGCGTGCTCTGAAACGCCCAAAACCGTCGAGTTTTTCACCGTGGTCCAAACAGAGAGCTTAATATTTTGATTTTCTTGGCCACGGCCACGATTAGCGATTACCCGTCAGCGTCACTCGCTCAGCCCGGCGAGAAGAGCGGCCCGCAGGCGCGAGTATCTCGAGTATGAGACAAGTAAGGGTGATTGAACGCTATGTTACACAACATGAGTCTCTACACACGACCACGTGTCGTCCCTCCTTTCTCGCTCGGCTCTCAATAGATTCTCTTCTCTCTCCGTTTCGCGCGCGCGCAGTCGCTCTCGGCGCGCCGCGCTCGGTGCGCCAAACAGCCCACAATGCGGGCTGCAGAGAGATGACGTGCGCGCACTCAGATGTGCGGCGCATCGAGCCGGTCAGCGCGGGCTTTTGTGGTCTTGTTGATGTAGATGGTGACGAGCTTGAGCTGAGCGGTGGAGAGCGTGGCGAGGTGCGGCGTGAGCTGCTCGCCGAGCACGAGGTACCTGAGGCAAGAGCGGCGCTCGAGTCGACCTGCGAGGCGCGAGGGCGGAGTACCGGCAAGCATCGCGCACATGTCGACCAGGCAAAAGACCACAGCTTTGCGCACGTCCGCGTGCGCATTCTTGAAGGCCTCGAAGAGGGGCGGCAGCAGCTGCGGCAAGATGGAGAGCAGCTGCAGCTGGGAGAAGCGCCCAACCAGCTTGGACTGCAAGCGGATGGCGAGCTGCAGAGTCGGCGGCGGCTCGTTGACCAGCACGGGAACCTGGCAATAGGGCGGGAGGTCACAGCGCACGCACACGCGCAGCGCTCGCTGGAGGGTGCGGTGCGCGCCAGCACGGCGATGCAGCGGTGCGGGTCCGAGATGGAGAGGAGGAGCTCGAGCGCCTGAGAGCGAGAGGTGGGGTGGACTGGCCGCCTCGCCGAACACCGTGTTGCTGTCTCTTGCGGGGTCGAGATTGGAGAGCGGGGCAGCCGACGGGGGCAGGCGCGCGCCTCCTCTGCAGACGCCGCCACCTCGCGCGACGGGGCGCACGCGTGGGCGGCCGCAAGCAGCCGCAGCAGCACGTGCTCGGTGAAGGCGCCAAAGCGACCGCTGTGAGTGCGCAGCATGTCCTGCGTGTTGGGAGGGCACGCTTAGCGGAGGCTCGGGGGGGGGGGGGGGGGTGGCTGTGAGAGGCGGGCCGGTCGCCTTGAGGCATGCCAGCGCCGGCTCGCGCATCGCGTCCCCCTCGTGCTGCACCTACTCGCGGCGCGCGTGCGTGAGGAAGAGGGGCCTCCCTGGAGCCGGCGCGACCCCCGCCCCCGCGGCACCGCACGCAGCACCGCCTCGAGCGCGTGCTCCCAATGGCGGTCCCATACCGGCGCTCCGGGCCGCACGACGAGCACCATCTTGTGCAGCTTCACGAGCGCCTCCCGCTGCGACGCCTCGGGCTGCCCGCCCTGCAGAGCTCGCAGCAGTGTCGGCATCAGCAGCAGCCAATCCTCGTTCCCTCCGGACAGCTCCAACGCACCGGCGTGGGCCGTGTCCTGCTGCTTCGCAGCCGGCCGTATCTCTCGCAACGGCCCTCCCGACGCGCCGCCACCGGCGCGACCGCCGCTGAGCGACGTTTCGCACGGCGGCGTGTCGAGCGCACCGCGGCAGCCGCCGCCCCTGCTCTCGCTCCCACCGCCCCTGCTCTCGTTCCCGCAACCCGCGCCGCGCTCCGGCGTGCCGCCGCCGCGCTCCGGCGTGCCGCCAAGGCCCGAGCCTCCTCCGGGCCGCGCCTGCCGCGGCTGCTCGGGCTGGGTCGAGCGGCGGGCGGCGGGTCGCGCCGTCGCGAGCTGCGCGGCGAGCTCGGGCGCGTCGGCCGCCACGAGCGAGCGGAGCTGGTGCTGCGCCGCGAGCGGGAGCTGGCCCGCCTGCGCGAGGAAGGTTGGCGGCGCGGCGGCGTGCAGGGCGAGCATCGCGTCGATCGCGGCTCGGCGCAGCTCCGGCTGCTTCTCGGCGGCGAGGGGCAGCACCTGGAGGGAGAGGAGGCGCCACGAGGCGTCCGAGGAGGCGCGTCGCAGCGAGGCGCGCGCACGCTCGGGTGGGCGCGGGGGGAACGGACATGCGAGGGGGGGGGGGGGGGGGCGCCTTCTGCACGGTTGGGCCCATGTGCACTCCCGCGGCGAGGAGGGGCGCTGCCCCCGGCCCCACCTCGCTGATGATCAGG